AGTGATTCTCCTGTTTTCAGCCTCCCAAGCACTGGAATTACAGGAACATGCCACAGTGCCCTGTCTCAATCACTGTCTCCGCGCGCCCCAGGGGCGGGGCCAACACGGCAGGCCCGGGATCTAACCCTGGTCTCCATGCCTGCCTAAGCAGGTGCTTTAGTCCGCTGAGCTGGCTGGCTGGCCCCCCGATATTTCTCAGCTTGAATTTTCAGTAGGAAATAGTGCTGGGGTTTAGTATTTGTTGGAACCTCCTGTGTGCTGTACGTTTGCCTTAGAGACAATGATTATCTCATTCATCCACACAACAGCCCAGAAGCAGATGTTGTCCCCATTTTACAGTTGAGGAAGCTAAGGCTTAATGAGGTGAAGCGCACAGGTGCACGGGCAATAACTCAGATGATATTGCTCTGTGGTGGTGGGAACTAACTGTTTTACATGGATGTACTGAGCACTTCAGAGTGGCCATGCCTTAAATGACAAGTCCCTCTTGTCCTCCCCACCTCGAAGCTCAGCGATGGTTTCCTGAACATAGGACCCAAGCCAGGAAGCCAGGCACTCACCGTCCATTCACTTATTCTGACTCATTTGCCGCTTCTTGGTACCTTCCTATCCCTCCCTTGTGCCCACTCAGCAGGGGCTGCCACACCCACTTTGAAAGGTGCTTTCTCGAAACTCACTGCATTCAACTGTGTTGTGTGTATAAGAATCAAGTTTCTAGTTATTTCCTTTCCTGCACTAGTGTTTTCCTTGCCAGTCTCAGAAATCTAAGCCTAACACACTCAAAGCACAAATGGATTTGTTGGTGAGTAGAACTAAGATGCCAAGACAAGAATCAGAAGCCAGAACCTTTCTCCAGCTGGTGGCTATTTCACTGTTTTACCAAGGATTGGACTCAGGCCCTTGCGCTTGCCAGGGAAGCGCTTATTCTACTGAGCCATCTCCCTGACCCCTCATTATCTGTTTTTTTCTCCTACTGCACTTGTCTCTGTCATCAGCTTAGGGTAACTCCTTCCTCTGTCAGTGATCCCATTAGTAAAGTTTTATTCTTTCCCTGTGGTTAATTCCAGAGAACAGGGATTGGTTGTGAACTACAGTTTAGGGCTGAGTCCCCATGACTGACCTAAGATAGGCAGTCACAGTGGCACACAAAAATAAATTCACCTCAACATTTGTATAAAACCAATTTAGCGGGACGTGGTGATATAATCCCAGGACTTGGGAAGCTGAGGCAGAAGGATCCTTGAAAGTTCGAGGCTAGCCTGGGCTATCTATCTGGTAAGACCCTGTCTCAAAAAACTAAAAAGCAAACAATTTAGCACCAAGTTCTTTTTTCTTCTCTTCTCTTTTCTTTCTGCAAAACTGGGGATTGAACTCAGGCCCTTGCACTTGCCAGGCAAGCACTTATTCCACTGAGCTATCTCCCCAGCCCCTCTTCTTTTCTTTTAAAGAGGAAAGAAATAATAACAGATAACAAGAACAAAGACAAAAACAAAACACCAAAGACAGTAAAAGTGATACAGAATTTCAAAACAAGAACAAGAAATTAACAATGGTTGTTATATTATGTATTGTTATTAAATTTGTTATTTGGGGGGCCAGGGAGATGGCTCAGTGGAATAAGCACTTGCCTGGCAAGCTCAAGGGCCTGAGTTCAATCCCCGGTCCTGCAAAAAAAAATTGCAAAATATAGTCCTAAGTGACTGTTGTTCAAAACATACACAGAATTCCTAAAAGTCAATAGTTAGAAAATGAGAGATTGCCACGATCCTTGA